CACGGCAATATACGTCCTATTTCCGTGGGCGTATAAAAAATCTTGTCATCGGTTCATACTTTTTACATCGGATTTCGATTTCGAAAATTACAAAGGGCAGGCACTGAGAAGAAACTGAGACAAATGGAGCATATCTGTAAAAGACTAAGCTGAAAAAGCTCAGTATCGCAAAACAAGAAGTGAGGAACATCACAAGAAATATGCAAGAGCTAGAAACCAAGCAAAATGGGCCATAAAAAAATTGTGAGGAAAAGTTATCAAGAGAGTAAGTATATTGAATATCAAACAAGGTATATCAGATTTAGAGGATGAAAATTGGTAATTGCTGTAATACAGACTCATTAAAAGCAGAACTATGAAATTTTTCAGTAGGGTGTTCACTGTGGAAGACGTTACAAACATACCCGACAATCTGGCAGCACTAGAAATCAAAAGAAATTGAAATACCCAAACAAAAAGAAAAGATAACCTAGAACCTGGAGAGTGTGAACACCTCAAAATCACCAGGACCGGATGAAATACATCTCAGAATTTTACGGGAAATAGTTCAAATAACAAACCTCTCAGTATTATTTTCAAGAAATGAATGGATGAAGGAACTGTCCCCCAAAGCTGGAAAGATGCCCACATTACACCTATATTTAAGAAAGGAAAGAAGGTAACCACAGGAAACTCAGTGAATAGGCTTAATTATATTATGTAAATCAATGGAATCGCTAGTTGGAGAGCTACTTGACCACTTGGAAAGAAACAACATACTAACCAACTGCCGACATGAACTCATGATGGTAGATCCTGCGCCACCAATCTTAACTGACAGTTCTGGACGAGTAGACAGCCTTTATTGGTGATGGAATCCCTGTAGATGGATTTTGCTAGTGAATTCAACTAGAAGATACAGATTATGAGAAAGACCTTTGTGTATGGATAGGCAAGAACCTAAAATTAGAAAAACATGTGAAGGAGCAAACAAATAAAGCTAACATTCTAGGACTACTACGCAAGTCATTTACCTTCCTAGATAAGACTGGCTCAAAAGACTATACAGTTCTAGTAAGACCTCATCTAAATTATTGTAACGTTATCTGGTCAACACATATGAAATTGAAAAAGATAAAAGGTTACTGGAATCTGTCCAAAGGCGAGCAACAGCATTAGTACTTTCCCTTTGTGGAATACTACCAGAAGAGTAATCTCGTCCCCTTGGTTAAATATTTTAAAAACAAACTCGATAAAATTTTGATCGATTACCATTATACTAATTAACCAATCTCACTCTTCCTACCTATAGCAGAAGAGTTTGGAAGCCGGCTGCGGCCATACCTACTCTGAAAAAGAGAGGGTTAAAAGGGTATTTTTAAATGTCATAATAAACTTGCAGAAACGAAAAACGGTGACGTCAAGGGAATTTTTTCAAAATTTGGATTTTGAAAACAATAGGATTAATTTTTATTATCTAAGCAGACTTAAGCCTACTTAATCGAGTTATAGCCAATTAAACAAAAATTTCTTCAAATAATTTATTTTACATTTAAATGACATATTATAACAAACTACTTTAATTTTAACAAATGAGAAACGGAATCAGCAAATTCAAACACATTTACATCATTATTATGATTAATATAACATAACATTTATAAAGCACCAAAAATACCGAGGTCCTAGTTTTTGAGAAAAAATTACTTTTCACGGTTGTGGTCGCCATTTACTCTTATCAAGATATCGTTAGATGTGATTGCAGTTGTGTTGCATGTTTTGAAAGTACATTTCCAAACATCAGTATCAGTCTTCCTTTTATTTATACGATACTTGTAACCACCTACTACCAAGTAACGGCCGTTTCGTGATGTCGGTAAGAAGTCGTAAGCGAGCTGTGCGTTTGCCATTTTGAATGAATATGCATTCCCTCGACATACACGTCTTTATATATATCAAATTGTATTGCTTTATTACAATATACATAGTACATAGGGTTTGACAAATAATAATAATAATACAAATAATTACAAGATAGCGGAGGATGTTACAGTGATTCTCGATGTTTGAAAGCTAAATGTAAATATTTTCCAAGATTGTCTAAAACCTAACAGTTTTCAGAATTTAACAGTTCAACAAACTTAAGCATTGATGGTCTAATCCTGTAATAATTTTTAATATATTTTATTCTTAAGGAGTTATATTGAGGGCAGCATAGTAAAAGTGATATTCGTGTTGATTACACAAGTTGCAAATTCGGTCAGCTCTATTGGCGTTACTGTACCACCCTGTTTCTATCTCAAGGCAATGAGAGCTTAAACGAAATTTACAGATATACTTTTTTTTTAGAAAAATTGGTTTTTTCAGGTAATATTGTATGTTAAAATGTACATTTAACTGGCGATATGTAAGACAAATTAATGGTGACTAAAGTTCAATATTTTAATCACAGATGCCAAAAACAGTGAGTGACATCATTAGATATTAATTAATGTAAGTGAACTATTATCACGAATTTTTATCACCGTTAATGAGGTCTTAACACCTTTAATCTCTTGGCGGCATTCACCTCAAATCATCAAAGAAAACAAAACGGTGACTTCTCGGGAATTTGGAAATTCGTTCTGGTGACTTCCCGGGAAGACACCATGTAGAGAAATATGTCTCTTGCGTATTCTAAAGATTTCAACTAACAATATCGGACCATTATAAAGCCAATCACCAAAACTAGGTCAAACTACTTAATCAACAATCAACAAGCGGAATACCCCTTTAAATGATTTAAAAATTCAAAAAAATCCTACAAAATTGATTTCGAGAGAATGTAATTTAAAAGCAATACATATTCCTTCAAAATAATGAGTTTTGTTGTTGTTCCATGCATGTGTTGTTTCATCGAGCCTTTTTCTTGCTTTCTCAACTTTTTCGCTTTCTCGTCTCACGAATTCTCGAGCGAGGGCAATATGGCCACAGTCGGCCTCTATAGAAGATGATATGTATGTATAAGATTAAATAACGGGCAGTAACTCATAGAAAGCTTTCATAATAAATAAATGAAATGAATGGAGTGTTACACCGTACTTTTCTACACCAAGGGTTCATTAGAAGGAACATCGTCAACCTACATGAAATGGAAATTCTAACTTCCATGACGCCGACTAGAAATTATAGAAGAAGTCGATATGGACATAATAAACATCCACATATTTTCGCACTACTAGGTCTTTAATAGAATCTAGTTGTTGTCATTCATGAAACAATAAGTTCCCGTGTGCTACAAGCTATGCAAGTTCAAGATCACTGGATGGTTGAAAACAAATTAGCTGGCAGCTGCCAAAAATGAGTTGAGTGACTAAAACATACATTTTTTCTCATATTCTAGAGCTTTAGAGTGTGTTTGTAGTCCACAAACTTTGAATTTATTCATATCTTATCAAACTAAGTTTTTGTTGGGACACATAAAGTCATTTTAACAGTGTCAAACAATCCTTTTGCTCCTTTTAATCCTTAATTTTTTGGAAACTTATCAGAATCAAATTTCAGAATGAATGCAAGAATAAATTGATGATGCTGGTTAACTTTTATTTCAGAATCTCATGATATCGTCTGTTTTCATGTTAATAATGTTGTATTGTGTTTTCATGTTAATAATGTTGTATTGTCTGTTTTCATGTTAATAGTGTTGCATTGTCTGTTTTCATGTTAATAATGTTATATTGTGTTTTCATGTAAATAATGTTGTTTTGTCTTTGTTAATAATGTTGTATTGTGTTTTCATGTTAATAATGTTTTATTGTCTGCTTTCATGTTAATAATGTTGTATTGTGTTTTCATGTTAATAATGTTGTTTTGTCTTTGTTAATAATGTTGTATTGTGTTTTCATGTTAATAATGTTGTATTGTCTGTTTTCATGTTAATAATGTTGCATTGTCTGTTTTCATGTTAATAATGTTGTATTGTGTTTTCATGTTAATAATGTTGTTTTGTCTTTGTTAATAATGTTGTATTGTGTTTTCATGTTAATAATGTTGTATTGTCTGTTTTCATGTTAATAATGTTGTATTGTCATGTTGTATTATCTGTTTTCATGTTAATAATGTTGTATTGTCTGTTTTCATGTTAATAATGTTGTATTGTCATGTTTTATTGTCTGTTTTCATGTTAATAATGTTGTATTGTCATGTTGTATTGTCTGTTTTCATGTTAATAATGTTGTATTGTCTGTTTTCATGTTAATAATGTTGTATTGGATGAGTATATGCTGTATCGCAACTCGCAATATTTTTTTCATTCTGTTTCTCACAATTCGAGATATTACCATCCTATTTTCAACTGGATTTCCCCTTGTAAATTATGCAGGTCACAAATGAAATCAGTTTTACGTCTTACTCTAGCCTCATATAATGGGGCTAATGAAAAAGAGCAATGCCATACAATGTGCAATGAGCAAGTCAAGTTGAAAAATCAAAAGGTACTATCTCAACGAATGTCATGACATGCAGGTCAGAGGAAATTCTTTTATTACATGTTCATCTATACACATAAATACATTTTAGAAAAAGTCTGAAGCTCTAGATCTAGTCATCCTACCACTTGTTTCTTTTTTGGATTTTGATAAAGGAATCGATGCTCTTTGAGATGAATCCTTTTGGAACAACTGCACTTTAGGAGATTTCTTTTTACTGCTCTTTACAGGTGACTGATGAATTGGTACAATGGGTGATTTCAGTATGCCTTGATCAGGTTTTTTGCTTGGTGAGTAAACTGGTCGAGGACTAATTTTCATGCCCTTCTTAAATTCTAAAAAAGAAAATCCAAATAATGAGTTCTAAAATAGCTTGTCAGACATGGTAATATAATCCCAATAAAAATATTTGTCAGTACTAACAATCACCAGTATAAAACTATAACCTTCAGTCATACCAGTACATTGTTTGGAGCTTTACCAAGTTTCATCAAAATCTGTCAAGTATTGTGCCTTTTGACTGTTTACAAGCTAGAATTGAACACGCTTTCAAGAACAATAGATCAAAAAAAAATTTATGATTTTTTGTAAGGGTTCATCCTTGGGTGACAATAAACACTTACAAGTTTCATCAAAATCGCCAATAATCACGATTCTCAATTTTTGAAATCTTATTTATAGGTATGAGGAAAGTTACAAGTTCTAAGAATTTTATCTTTTATTTTTATGACAATTGGATTGGCAGCCTCAAATGTTGTGTTATGTCTTTGCGTTGAAACAAAGTTTTTTGTAAGTTTACATTGATAAGAAACACATTTCTCTTCTTGAAATTTTAAACCAAAAGACAAAAATTCTGGCTGAAAATTGTCCTCTGTAAAAACAAATTTTGAAGACATGATTGGCGCTTATGTTAATATTATTTCAATGCAAAGACATTCTAAGACTAACAGTTCCATTGAGGCTGCTATTTCAATTCTCAAATATATTAGAAAAAAATGAAATTTTTTTTAATTTGCTCAGACAATAAATTAACAACTTTTATTATGTCAAGGGCAATAACTCCAAACTATTTATCCAATCAATACCAAATTCAAACTCATCAGGATCTCATCCATATACAAAGGTTCATCAACATCTGATGGAAACAGTAGCCTCTATTGTGTTTTTACTTACACAAGGGTAATATATCGTTCCTCTGAAAATTTTATTTGACAGATATCTCCTACATGTTTACAGACAAACAAAGATTCATCAAAATATGATAAAAACTGTAGCCTTTATTTTTTCCACAAGCCAAATTTGATGCATTTTAAAGGGACAGATGCACCATTTTTTTCCCAATCATACCTTAGTCTCAGAAACAGGAATTTTTTAGCTGAGCCAATCATTAATAGTGTTCACATCTCACCGTCAAATCCATGTATGTCCAGAATTATCTGTGTTTGCAAGTTAAAAAGACTAGTCATCTTTTTCTTGAGACACTGCCATACATAGAAAAGACATCTATAGAAATAGGAAAATAAATTCCTAGTTTGAGATATTTTTGAAGGACTTATGAAATTTTCCTACATTTCTAGTACTTCTGAAGACTATTTACATAGACTTTTAGCTAGCAAATACAATCAATCAGAGGCTGTGTTTTAAATACTGTAAACATTATAATGTATGGTTGATTTAAAGTACTTACTTAAAGCTGTGTTCTTCTTCATATCAAAAACAACTTTCTTTTCTACACTAGGTCTAGTCTAAAAATAGATAATTATTTTCATATACAGATAATAAGATAGATTGTCACAGAAGAAATATATGCCCACTAGACTAGCATACCAAGTTTTATTAAAATTGGTTAAAACTATTTATTAATGATGCTTTGTTGATTGATGTATAATATATCAGTCATTGTGAGAATATGTGATTAATTTAATGATCACATGTCAGCTATGTTCATTCAGTAATAATTGAATTCAATTTTTCCTTCTGTCATACCTGTAATCTATCATGGCAACAGAACACATCAAATGTTACTGCTATGAAAAAACAGCAAAGGAATTTATGTTTGTAAATAAGCAAATCCTAAATCTAAGGAATATTATTGTTATTATCATGCTATGTTATTGAAATGAAATGAAAAATTATAAACAATCAAGGCTCTTCATGACGTATTGGGCTGTATAGTACACACATATCATACTTTTTTGAGTACTAACATAATGAATTTAGGTTCTGAACTTGTCTTGAAATGCAGACATGAGAACAAGTTCTTCTTGACACAGGCTGAGAATAGGTCAGTTGTCTGTCAGTTCACATAATGTGAAACTCTGAGTAACACCATTATGTTTTTAGGGTTCTGCTTAAATATTTCTATATCGCTCTACAATTGATGTATTGAGCACTAGTTAAACAATGAAATTTTTTTTATTATTGTATGAATCTACATAATGCAAAAGAAAAACATTTTACCTGTTGAGGAAGTATTTGACTTTCTAGAAGTACAGGTGTCTTATTTTCAGCTGTAACTTTGTTTTTCTTACTTGGACTACATATTGAATTTTCAAGTGATGCTCTTCGCTTGACTGCCTTCTGATCTGGTAAATTTGTTGAATTTGTTTTTTCTGAAGTTGCCAATGCCTTTCCCTTTTGATCTTCTGCAATAATAAATAACTCAATATTAACTTTACAATTAAGCAATATGATATAATTAATATATATATACTACAGTTCTTAAGAGTTTGTTTATATATGTTAATGAGTAAGACAAGTGGTATATATGACTTGTAACATATTGACAGTGTGAACTTATTACCACACCTAGGCCAGTGCTTTTCTTGGGATTTTTAAATCTCAATCTCACTCTAACACCACATTGATCATGTTACCTTTTATCCAATGAAACAGAAACTCATGCAAGATTTTTGTTAACATGTGGTTGCTTAGTATGATACACCCACTTCCTTGATATATTCCAGTATCAGTAATATCCCACTCGGTGCCAAAATTCTAATCTGTCCAAAATAGATTGATTTAGAACACAAAATTTCATAAAAGTCTGACATAAACTGTTGCCTCTATCGCATTTCCAAACCACATTTTTAAGATAATTTAAGTTAAAATTAAAATCAGATAAAAACTCTATCTATTGTGTTCACAAACAAATTTTGAAGCATATTTCCTATGTCAATAACTCAAAACCGTTATTTTATCAAATATTTCTCATGTTTATTTATTTTATATTTTTGTATTCTTGATTTCTGATTATTTATGTTTTTCATTTATATAAATTGTACTCTGAGATAATCAAATCCTCCTGAATTATTACTCAGATATAATCAAAATCTAATCCAATATTTCTATAATCCTCAATTGATCAAAGATATGACTCAACTAATTAAGAAATCAAAAATAATCCTAATCCTCAACTGATCAAAGATATGACATGATTCACTCAATAATTTTTAGAAAATCAAAAACCTGTATTAACTGACTACTATCTAAATCCCAAATTCAACCTCATTACATAACCATTCCTCGACACTGAAAAAGGATAATATTTCGAAAACCGGTTCGTGTCAATTGCGTAAGTTTTTATTTTACTTGTTATAAGTTTTCACATCATTGTTAGCGTTATTTATCACCTAAATATATATTTTTTGCATTTTTCATCATAACTTTCATCTTACTTTATATATCCCCAAACCCAGTTATTTGCATAATTTGATCCCAACATTTTCACGCTAGCATATACAGTTTCCTCCTGTTACATCCGCTGTACCAGAAGCCAGACATAGAAACACTAATCGTCAACAAAACCAATATCACGTACCCTACAATGGCCCTCTCTTCCATCGACCTCTACCACCTACCAATCGCCGACCACCAACCAACCCATCCAGTCATATTCCACCCCATCGCCGACCTACCTACAACACCTACCAATCAAGAGGTAACCATCGACCTGACCAACAAGAGAAACGACTACCAGCCCACCGACGCCAACCAGTCCCCACTCATAAGGAGGAAGAACCCTTTGAGAAGGTGTTCTTCCAAGTTTTGCAGTGCCTCCATCATTTGGCAATCCTTACCCTTCAACAGCAGGGCCAACCAGCGTTCACACCGTCAAACGCAAAGTCTCTGAGTTGGATAGTTTTATCCATCCAGCAATGAAAACATCAGCTGTCAACGCGAATATTAGATCCCTCAATCGGACATGGCTCTATAAGGTTACGCAGGTCCTGATCGACCATTACCAAACCACACGTCAAGAGAAGCTGACCACCATTCGTAGCAAGTCTTTATCATCACCTGCCGTCGACCGCATCGTTTCTCATGCCCTTTCCTGGGCCCGTCGCTCCTATGGGAAACGTCTCACCAGTACCAACCAGTACCAATCACACCGTCGACGACCATTATATCCGCTACCAAACCGTATTATCACCAAACCAAGGACAAATCATTATGGAAGCTACCTGCGCTAAAGAAATCTACCTTAATAATTGGATCATTTAACCTGAATCGAATTACCAAAACCAGTTCAGACACCGAAATACATTCTTACCCCGGTGCCCAAATCCATCACATACAGTCAATCCTGGAATCATACGACCATGATCCCAAACCTACTACCATTATTCTTCATGTAGGCCTCAACAACCGTGATCAGCTACCAAAGACCTCCTTTAACCAAGCCCAGAAATTAATCGCCACAGCCAACAAAACCTTCCCAAACTCCAAGATCCTCTTCACATGTATACCCATTTCAAATAAAATCTCGAAGAAAGCACAACAGAACCTCAGCACTCTCAACAACATGATGATGGAGTCCAGTATCAACAGCGCAACAAGAAGAAGAATTCGAACCAGTTGATAATCTTCATTGGTCTCCAGAAACAGCAAACAGCATTTAATTGTTTTGGATACACCAGCTTCAAGCATCGAGTAAGTCTTTAAACTAATTACTGGGGATAAAAATACTGAGAGGCCACCGCTAGGCCAAACTGTAGTTAACTTGAGTCGCAGAATTCTCACACCCCTTCAGCATTCAATCTTAGACCGTGGACTTAAGTTTATTCCCACACCAAAGATAGCTAACTTGAATTATCTCTGACCATCCAATGAACGATTTCAACGAAATCTTAGCTGCACATATTTTTTTTGAAACCACCCCCCACGTGGTGCTAGAACAATGTTTATTCCTAAATCCATGTGGACATCCCCTCAGGCCAACATCCATCCTGAAATATTGAAAGCATTTGCGAGTATGAATTGCCAAACAGTGAACCTTTCATTGGTTCACACACGAAAAGCCTGATCTCACACGAGTGGAACGTGAAGCGTTAAACTTACTTAAGAAAGACGATAGCATTGTTATTAAAAAGAGTGACAAAGGTTCATGTTGTGTCATTCTGAATAGGGAGGATTACGTTTCAGAAGCAGAGAATCAACTGAATAATCCTAAACATTATGCCATTTTACCGAAACCAATTTTCAAAGAAACTGCTAACATGATTAATAATATTCTTGCCGATAGATTTAGTCAAAACTAGTTATCTCAAACAGAAACAATAGGACTATCTGTCTGCCAAACCTGATTGTTGCGAGAGACATTTGTACACTTTGCCTACAATCCATAAGAATCCAACCAAGGAGTGGTTTATCTGTAATAAAATCCCTAAAGGCCGCCCGATTATATCTGAATGTGGTAGTGAGTCATATGCAGTGTCAGAATACATTGATCATTTCTTACTACCTCTAGCATGCCAACATCGCCCGTACCTTAAAGACACAACCGATTTTGTCAATAAAATAAAAAATCTTTGAGTTCCCTCTAATGCTATTTTAATTTCTATCGACGTTTCTTCTATGTATACCAATATCGATAACACTACTGGTTTAACGGCAGTTCGTAAAGCTTTTAATAGAAACCCAAATCCAAACAGACCCAACGATGCAATTCTACAGCTTTTAGAGATTTGTCTTAGTCGAAACGATTTCACATTTAATGGTAAAACATATTTATAAACTTCAGGGACAGCAATGGGCAAACAATTCGCCCCTTCCTACGCAAACCTTTTCATGGCAGAGTGGGAACGTGAGGTGTTGCCCCTCTGTCCATTTGACCCACTTTTTTACGGACATTTTTTGGATGACATTTTTATGGTTTGGACTTATTCTATCGAACAGTTTTGGGAATTCTTTGAAATTCTCAACAACCACCATCCTTCTATCAAACTAACCACAAACGTGAGTGACAAAATCATAGACTTTCTCGATACCACTGTCTTTAAGGGAGATTCCATAGCAGAAACAAATAAACTGGATATTAAAGTGTATTTCAAAGAAACTGATACTCATCAACTCTTGCACAAGAGCTCCTTTCACCCAAAACATACCTTTTTTGGTATAATTAAGTCACAAGTTTTACGATTTCATCGAATTTGTACAAGATCTTCTGATTTCAACCAAGCCTGTATGATTGTCTTCTCAAAACTGAAAGAGCATGGGTACTCTAAACGATTTTTACGAAACATAAAAAATCCCACCTTAGCACAGATAGCAGCTAAAAACAGACTTTATGCCGAAGTACCTCCAGGTTTAAGAAGTGCTCCATGTTTGTCCAGTAGATGCAAAACATGTCCCTTTATATCAGAAACTCATTATTTTGTAAGCAACTCTACGAATAAAAGGTACCCGATCCAGGAACATCTAACATGTGAACATTCGAATGTAATATATTTAATTTCATGCAAGAAATGCCCCAAACAATATGTAGGAGAAACTAAGAATAATTTACGAATTCGCTTTAATGCTCATAGGTCAGACATCAAATTAAAGAAAGACAAGCCTGTTTCTAATCATTTCAACCTCGACGACCATTCAATAGACGATCTCACCCTAATCCCAATTGAGCGTATAGAAATTGACTTGCCCGAAGATGAAACTACCAAATTCCGTCAATCTAGGGAGGCCCATTGGATTGAGACATTGAATACAGCAAGACCTATAGGACTAAATATTCATCATAGTGTAGGCATAGCACCCTTTGTTGTCCCGTTTAATACAACCAGCAATCGAGCAAGCAAGATAGTTCATGCCCACTATAAGAGCCTTCAAGAGAAATTCCCCCATGTCTATAAGAAGATAATGATAGTTGCATATTCAAAAAATAAGAACTTAAATGATAATATTGTTCATAGTAAACTGTATATAACTGATACTATACTTCTCGCCCATTGGGCGAGTTATTTTTTCTTATTTCAGATCAGAATAAGAACAGAAGAAAACCCAATATCAAGACCCTTAATCCTAATTTCTAAATAAAGTGTCTGCTCCACCCTAGGCCTGTACATTTGGGAGAATCAAACCCTCCCTTCCCCGAAATCAAATCAGGTAAAAAATATGATATTACTACGCCAATCCTTTTATATTAAAGATGACCTTGCAAAGCAAGGTGACATACGCCCATAAACAGCTTTGATTGTAAGTACAAATCATTGTTTGTAGCCTGTAGAGTGAGCAAAAGTTGCACTATATGGCTAATAGAATGAATACACTAAGTTGGAAACGACATTTCAGGGAAAAATTATCAGATCATCACAAAAATTGATAGGGATCATCTTCATAATGACATTGACACACAAAATAAAAAGCAACAGAATCTGTAAAGAATTGTTGCCTGTAGAGTGAGCACGAGCACTATATAGTTAATAGAGTGAAACGTCAAGTCAAACACGATATTTCAGTGAAAACTTATCAGATCATCACGAAAATCAAGAGAATCCATAAAGAATTGTAGCCTGTAGAGTGAGCATGAGCCAAATGTGAACGGACAGACTGACACACTGCCGGAGTAATTAAAATATACACCCAAAATACATTTGTTGGCAAATAAAAATCTATAGAAACACTTGTGCAGTTCGACCATTTTATTGCTTACAGAAAGGTGACGATAAATCAGAGTTATAAAAATAAAAATAATTATCTTTATATATACCTGGCTGGGGGGTTGTTTTTAACTGTGGAATATTTAACTGTATATCACAATCTTCATAGTCAGGTTCAGGTATTTTTAATGCAACAGTTGTATCAATGAAATCTCGTATTCTAAAAATAGATATATAATAATTTCACATATGATTATAATCTAAATCACATTCTAATGTGTGGGGCATTCACACCAATATAATAATCTACAATTTACAAAAAGTTTCAGATAGTTGAGTATTTCACTTATGACCACTTCAAATAATAGTTGTTTAACAAATTGATGGAGTTTTATTATTTAACAATACCACTGCAATTGTTGCTGTAACAAGTCAAACTTTCATCATAGATTATACACAGTGCATACTTAGGTATTTGAAAACTTCTAAGTTAAAAGGATAGCAATGTAATATACACCGACTAGCAGCTATGTTTCAGTTCTCTATTTTGCAACCATTATAAGCATGAAATATTTAATTAAATCACAAATTCCCAAAAAGGGGAAAGCAATTAAAACTATATTATTGTCCTGTTATTTGACGTTTCGGTCGAGATCTAATTTGGGTGTTTCTGAAGAAAACAAGAAAGCCGAAACATCAAATAACAGGACAATAATATAGATGAAATATTTAGTTATACATTTTATTTATAGCTGTGGCTTCATGAGTGTTCTATAGCAAAAAGTTAGAGAACATTTCGAAGAACTTGCAATCATATACACTGTACTTTGTGTATTCCGACACTCTGTGTATTTCGAATTACGCCACTAATCAGTGGTCCCGATACAGAAGATAGCTTGCCAGGCAAGGTAATATACGCCCACTGGCAGCTTTGATTTTGAACATAAATATTTATCAGTACAGTAACAATCACTAGTATGAAATATTCAACCTTCAATCATACACTTCTTTTGAACTCTTTAGGGCGAAACTGAATAATATTGAGTATGAGTTACTGCCCTAGTTCTGGAAAACTCTAGAAGACAAATATTCAATATTCAGCGCGGTATTGAATAATACAACCAAGTTTTGTCAAAATTCGGCAAGAATCATGCCTTCTAGAATTTTTATGGGCTACAAATTGAACAAGTTTTCAAGATCAAGGGCAATAACTCATGCTAAATATTTTTTTCGATTTTTCTCTTTTTCAATAGGCTTTATCCATGGGTGATAACAAACACTCAAGCCAAATTTCGCTAATATCCGTCAAGAATTGTGCCTTCTAGAGTGTTTACAAGCTAAACATTGAACGAGTTTTTCAAGAATAAGGGCAATAACTCATACTCAATATTTTTAGATTCTTCTGATTTTCAATAAGGTTCATCCTTGGGTGATAACCAACACTCAAGCCAAATCCGTCAAGAAGTGTCCCTTCTAGAGTGTTAACAAGCTAAAATAACTCATACTAAATATTTTTCATTTTTTTTCTATTTTCGATACGGTTTATCCATGGGTGATAACCAACACTCATGCCAAGTTTCGTCACAATCCGTCAAGAATTGTGCCTTCTAGAGTGTTTACGAACTAATAATTGAACGCGTTTTCAAGAACAAAGGCAATAACTAATACTAAATATTTTTCATTTTTTATAATTTTCGATACAGTTTATCCACGGGTGATAACCAACACTCACACCAAGTTTTGTCAAAATCCATCAAGAATTGTGACCGACCGACGGAAAGAGGTGACGGCAATATACGCCCCCCATTTCATGTGGGCGTATAAAAAATCTGTATAAATCAACATCTACTCATCTTAAAGGGATACCATGTCAAACATAAAATTTAAACTTATAAATCCAAAAAACTTAATAAAAAAGCAATTTACTATTGAAAAACACTTAATATTATGATCGCTGAAAAAATTCTGCTGATTTATCACCGCCAATGACCTCACCTCTAGATCAAGGTCATTTCCTTCAGATCAAATGGCATGGGTACTCGTATCTTTCATTACACCGTATAGAACAGAAATATGCAAGTTGACCATTCTTTGTTACAAAATTTTCAAAATTCTCAAGCTAACAATTTTCGTCCTGTGAACCGTGCCCATACTGAAGTATCTCTGGATATTTAACAGCAAATTATTGGATATTATGAAAAAGTGCCACGCTCTTCACAGTGATATTTAGCTACGAAATTTGGCTTACGTCGAACAATAATAAGCAGCATTTTAAAACTTAAGTTTGCAGACAATATTAATTCTAATAAAAGGCGTATGTACAGTAGCTCAAAATATGAACAATTAAATAATAGTAACAAATACAACTGAATTGTCTTTTATTATTGTCTTATTATGAGAAAGGTACCATCTGTAAAATGTGGGTCCACATGGTGCAGAAAAGTAGGACGTAAAAATTTCATTTCATTTGTAGAATGTGGGTCACTGAGCTATAAATAGTAACACGTGGCACATGTTAAATGTCGAAACTTTGAGTACTCCGACACTCTCAATTATCAGACATTATTTTGCGATCCCAGTGTATGTCAGATTACACAGAGTATACTGTACTTTCTGATATTTCCAAATCCTTAGATTCTTAGGGCCGTATGCAACGCTCTTACCTTTACTTAAGTTGAACTTTGGCTAAAGTTGAACTTTACAAAGTTAGGATTAAGGGCTGTATGCAGCGCTCTTACCTTGACTAAAGTTGATCTTTGGCTAAAGTCGAACTGTAGAAAGTTAGGATATAAGCTTTCATTTTCTACATTTGATAGTCAAATTTAAGCACGACTTTTGTAAAGATCAACCGGTGCATACCTAAAGTTCCACTTAAGTCTGACTTTAGTCAAAGTTTAGGCAAAGTACGAGCGCTGCATATGGTCCTTTTGTCCATCGATCAACAGAACTGTGTACTTCTACTACTTTTAGACCTTTCTGTGGCCTTTCATACTGTGGACCACGATGTTTTATTTACCAGATTATCTCATGATTTCAAAGTTACTGGTTCGGTTTTAGATTTGCTGAAATCCTACTTAACTAATAGGTCACAATCTGTCATTGTTAATAATAAATCATCTGCCAAAAAAGGTTTACTGTACGGTGTGCCACAGGGATACGTTTTGGGCCCAATTTTATTTAGCATGTACACCACCCCTCAGATATCGTCTTGACTTCTATCTATATGCAGATGATACCCAGTTATATCTGTCTTTTAAACCCTCTGTAGATAATAGTTTTACTTGTTGTAAATCTTCGATGAATAATAATTTTCTTAAACTGAACAATGATAAACAGAATATATTCTTCTTTGCTTGAACAATCTTGTATCGAAAGTGAAATAAAATGTATCTCTATCTGTGGGTACTCATGTTATATCCCTAGTCCCATCTGCCAGAAATATTGGAGTTATAATTTCGATCTACATTTAACCTTGGAACATCATGTAAATAATGTGTGTAAATTGTGTTATTAACTGTAACATTAGTAAAATTCGTAAGAACCTTTCCACTTCTTCAGTTAAAACCTTAGTACAAGCTCTGATTACCTCCCGTTTAGATAACTGTAATTCTTTATTAATTGGAACTCCTTTATGCATAACTAACAAACTACAAAGGGTTCAAAATGCAGCAGCAAGACTCATCACTGGCAAAAAGCATTACAATCACATCACATCAATTTTATTAGGCCTCCACTGGCTACCTATTATTTATAGAATTCAATTTAAGATTCTACTTTTAACATTTAAGTGTCTTAATGATATTGCACCACCTTATTTATCTGCACTTACAGAAATATACACACCAAATCGAACTCTTTGTTCTTCTTCGGACAATTATTTACTCGTTAACAAATCATCCAGACTTTTGACTTTCAGTAAGAGTTCTTTTACCGTCCAGACACCCAAACTGTGGAATATTCTACCTATTAAGATACTGTACTTCTTTAGCAATTTTTAAATCTCTTCTTAAGATGTTTTTGTTTAAGAAAACTTTAAATTTATAGATTTTTTTTATCATTTTATATTTTTTACATTTTACATGAGATAATTGTATGCAAAGTTCCATTTTGAACAAACCTATACTTTGCAAGTTATGCTCCTGGCCAAAAATGCCAATAATGAGTAATATAACCCAGATGTGCCACGCCCACCTTAATTTTTTTTGCATAGGGTAATTGATATTCAAAATGTTATGTTGTGTTTCAAATTTCAAGATTCTACATCATGCAGGTCAAAAGATATAGGTCTACAAAAGTCAACAAAGGTCAAAATCGAAAAATGAAAATATCCAAATGTTAAAACCCGTTCCTTTTTTGGAACTATAAAGCTGAAACAACTGAGCTGTTAACACAAACTGGCCAAAATAATGAGGTTATTGTGTGCAAAGTCCCTTTTTTAACGCATGTATCCTATGCGAGTTATGCCCCAGCCCCAAAATGTAAACAATTAGTAAATCAACCCGGATGTGCCACGCCCACCCCAATTTTTTTGTCATAGGTGAATTCATATTCAAAGTGTCTAGTTGTATTCCAAATATCAAGGTTCTACATAAAATAGGTCATAAGATATACATACACCAAGATCAAAAAGACACAAATATGGTAAAAAAAAACTCAAATTTGAAACCTAAAATATCAACCCTCTAGGTTAATTAGGTCACGTGCTAGAGCGGTCCAAAGTTGCGAATTTGGCTTTTTACGGATAGCTATAAAACCGGAAGTACATGTCGGAGGTCAAAGGTCAATGTATCAAATGATAGCCAAGGTCAATGACCTTGGACCCTATGAAGGTCAAGGTCATCAAAGGTCAAGGTCACATGGTGTGATCGTTTAAAGCATTAACAAAATTCAACCGGAAGTTGCAAAAAAGCAAAAGCGAAATTCAAAATTCGGCTCCCAATGTTTTTTGCATAATCGATTGCGGAATACATTCACATCAAATTTGAGCCTATCAACATTTACCCTGAGGCCCCATTTTGAGTTTTACAAAAGTGTGTTTTTTCAATATGGCGGTCAAAGTATGACTTCCGGTCTGGATTTTTTTTTCTCCGTTTTTTTTTGTAATAGCATTTACTTACGATCAGCATAAATTTCGTTGACCTATTTCAATTAAACCGGAAGTTATTCGACCCGAAGTGGATTGTACTTTCAATTGATTCCCCGTTTAAAACTGGAAGTAAAGTTAAATATTTGACAACTACATATTATTAACTTTAGTGATGCCCCTTTGCATATTAAATTTCAGAACAATCGATGCAAAAACAAAAAAGTGAGCTTCGAATTTTCAAAAACCGTAATTTTTCAAGTGCTATCATGTCAGAAATAACAGGTAGATTGTAAAAATGAAAACCTGAAGAAAATCGATGCAAAAATATGCCTTCTAGAGCCGATTTTCGACTTTTTGCACATGTGGACCTGTGGCACTTCCGGTTTTGCAAAAATGTTCCAAAATACACTCATTTACGACGTTGCCACTACAGAAGGTCTACACATGTAGTAATGTTGATGCAGCTGTTACAGCCTTTGCTTGAAAAGGTGTGGAAAAATCAAAAAAAGAAAAAAAAAAAAAAAAGAATTGACATTTCGATAACAAACTGGGACTTTGCAAAAGCAAAAGTCCAACAATAATAATAATAATAATTCACAATAAGTGATGGAATTTAAACCAGTTAAAAGTCACACATTTTGAAGAACAGTAATTGATGGTTGCTTGATAGATTCATCCTTTGGTGACAACAACAGAATTTATCAAAATTGATCAACAAATGTGCGTTCTCCAGTGTTTATGAGCTAGAAATATAACATTTTTTGAAAATTGATGAAAATACTCTGAGGTAATTTAATAAATCTTAGAAAGCTTCCAAGTCTGGACACTTTAATCTCATTTTTACCTATTTGCTGTTCTGTCACTTCCAGTTTTGTTGTCAAGGTCAATGTTTACTTGCATTTTTACTTTATTTTTACAATTAAATTCATAATCCTTGTGTCAAGATTAATAACAAGTATGATACAAATACTAAATTTGATCAATACATGTTAAAACTAAATTTTTACACAGAACTTTGAATAGAAAGTTGATTCTTCAATCTATACCTTTTCACTTGATCATAAAATAATCTTCTTTGCCAGGAATTACATTTAACATCTTTACCAAAATTAAACAACTTTTCTTCAATAATCTCACAGACAGCCTGTTAATAGTTTTAATATCATATGAAAACAAACTATAGTCTTAAAGGTAAGACTTCAATACAGCAGCAAAATTAATAGAAATGTGTCTGGTTATCCTTTCACAAAGCCTTCATGAATCATATGTGGTCAGAAGAATATAGGGGCATTCTATATTTAGTGTACACACCCTCCTCAAACTCATTTTCTTGGCATATTTTGACCATTAATTCACATTGATGATTGAAAAGGTTGATGATTGTCATGTTACAACTGGATGCTGCCGTGATATCTGTGACGTCATATAGGGTCATCAGTAAGTACATTACAAGACAATATGGCCTACGATTCCAACGGTAGCATTACCGATTGTGACTGGGAGTGCTCTCCCTCTTCCTTTGAAAGCAGCGATGAAATAAGTTCTGCCGAGGAAATTACCAGTTATCCACAACTTGACGTTCGACCATATGTTTGAACCAAAGGCGCCGAAAAATGAATCAGATTTTGTAGCAGGCTATCATACGGCCCTTTCAAATTATGCATTATGAAATAAGGAAGACCAGATGTAATCGATAATTAATATCAATATATAAGCAATGAATTATGCGAGGATGAAAATAGGTTGATATTTTTGCCTCCTAGAAGTGCCAGGGGCTATTTACAAAGATAGCTTGCCAGGCAAGGTAACATACCCCTACTACCAACTGTCAGAAATGATAACAAAATCTTTAGTGACTTAATAATGAATTTTCAAATAATCTTAAAATCGTCTATAAGTTAAGAATTTTTTTAAAATACTTACGATTGCTTGAAGCTGTGAGGATTGAACTGTACAAAATAATTTTTTTGCATTGATTACAATTGGATTAACAATTTTTTTTATGATATCCAATACAACTTCTTTTCTACAAAACAATCAAATCATTTGATGCATTTTTACTAAGTCAAGGACAATTGTCCTTCAAAAAACCATCAAATTTGAATTTAACCAAGATCTCGGAAATATAAATGATCACACCAACTTTCACTAAAAAAAAATGAAAACTATAGTCTTTATTGTCTTCACAATATCTTGAACCAGATGAATTTTAAATAAACAATTTTTTCAATTATGACCTTGACTTAGTTTATATGTGCTAAAACTTGTCCGTGATCACAATAGAAGCTATTCTGAATTGATAGTTGGTGTAATCACTGAAATTGGGAAGATCATTGATGGCTTTAAATATATATGACAGTGGTTTTTAATCCATACACATAAAAGTAATCAAGATAGTTTGCCAGGCAAGGTAATATATGCCCTCTGGCAGTTTTAAATTTAAATAAAAATAAGTAAAGTAAAGCAACAACAAACAACAGTAAAGTAACAATTACCAGTATTCATCTTTCAGTCATACACTTCTTTTGAACTTATACTAAATTTTTTTTGATTTTTCTGATTTTTAATAGTGTTTATCCTTGAGTGATTACCAAAAACCAAATCAAGTTTAAACCAAATCAAGTTTCGTCCAAATCAGTCAATTGTGGACGGACAGACGGACCAACAGACCGACATCGGCAAAGGCACGAGGGTGTATGAAAAAGGAGAAGTTTTTTTGCTGAAATACAAAGATTGTACTTTGAACATGGATATGAATACATGTTTTGGAGAGTAAAACATTGTTAAATAATATACATACTGAGTTGATTGATAAAGAAAGTTGAAAAAAGGTTCTAATATTTCACAGAGTTTTAACGATGATACCTGAAAAAATAAAAGGTAATTTTATCATAAATTTACACCAAATACATCAGAAAAACCCAATGACTTGTTCTTATATTGAGATGGTTAGGTTTAGTATATAGATGAGTGTTAAGTCCACATGTAGAGGAAGACTCGTGACAGTAGGAAGAATACTACAGAGCATAACCATGCCCCTGAGATAAGAAAGCTTGGTTTATGATCAACCTGGAGAAGAGAGCGAGAGAAGAGTCAACCTCCATGCACTCTCTACAACAACGAACTCTCCAGCTTAAACAACGAGACAGGAATGATGCCATCCTTCCCGTGAGCAACGGATGTGAAGGAATATTTTTTTCCATTACTGCCAGGTAATATGGAGGAGGAAGGTACAGGAACTGGAACTAGCTGTTGCGTATTGAGAAGATCCTGAAGTCTGCAAATGGATAAGAGCAGCCCTGTTTCTGTTTTAATGCTTGAATTCTTTCCTCTATTGATATATTGCGATTAAAACTTTTGACATAAGGCCATACAAAATAAATAGTCTGTTTTACAGGCCCTGTGCGCTCCAGTAAAATAACCCCGCGCTCAAAATCTAATTATTGACATTTTGAAGTAATTAATAAGTAATGTGCGCGCCCCAAAATAATGTGTAAAAAAGAGTTATTTCCCTTGAGTTATTTTTCGTAAAACCAAACCATGCTTTTCTAGTGTGAATAATTCTCATAAAATTTTAAAATCACAGCTTAAAAGTGATGTTGATTTTGACAATTTTAATTGTTAAAACCGTTAGAAGATTCATTAGATTGCTGAAGGAAGCACAATTAAACAAATTGTTGACACATTTTGTTAACAATCAAAACATTAATCTTGATAATTATTCCGGGTCTGCATACATTGGACCAAAACAAGACAGTCTACAAGAATGCACCCTAAATGCATCATTATCAGAAAGGTAGATATCTTTGGATATTCCATTACAAACAACAATTAATCAAACAATAAATGAGAAATGATAAAACAGTATTTATTGACTAAAGTACGAATTTTCTCATATTGAAGAAATTTTATTAGTTTGAATTCAATTACATATATTTATATACATATGCCAGTTTTTTATGCTAAGTAATTCCACAAAATTTGACGCATGTTAACAAAGTTAACAAGGGCAATAACTCAAAAAACGTTCATCAAAAATATCTCAAGTTAGAACTTGTCTGAGATCTTTTCAATTCCAATGATCACACCAAGTTTCCTAAAAATCGGTTGAAAACTGTAGCTTCTATTGTGCTCACAAACGATTTTGAAGCGTTTTACAAAGTCAAGGGCAATAACTCCAAAACTATTCATCGAAAATGCCTGAAGTTAAAACTAGCCCGAGATGTTATCTTTTCCAATGCTCATAACAAGTTTGATTAAAATTGGTTGAAAACTGTAGCTTCTATATAAGTGCTCACGAACATATTTTGACGCGTTTTTACAAAGTCAAGGGCAGTAACTCAAAAACCATTCATCTAAAATGCTTCAAGCTAGAACTTGTCCGAGATCTTATCAATTTTAATGATCACACTAAGTTTCATCAGAATCGAATGAAAACTGTAGCTTCAATCCTGCTGACAAACTATTTTTAACAAATTTCGACGCGTTTTAACAAAGTCAAGGGCAATAACTCAAAAACCAACGGACAGGGGCGACAACAATATATGACCACATATTTATGTGGGTGTATAAAAACCCAACTTTAAAGAGGCACTTTCACTATCCATGTTATCATACTTCTCGGAAACTGAAATCAGTACTACTAGTTTACAACCTACTGTCAAACTTTGAGCACTATTATCCCTTTATATTATTGACATTTTTTTACAAACTTCACCAAGAGTCGAATTGTCACAAGTTCTTGTACTTCTGTTGACAAATGCCTAAATGTTGCCTACGAATGGTACATTAAATGTACATTAAATTTGTGGAAATATATAAAAAATACTTTCGCTCGCTACGATTTATCCCAGTTGAAAATCTAAGCGCTTATAAATAATCAATAATAAATTCACCCTCTTGCCATGAATTTTTAAAAAAAAAGGCCTGTTATTAAAAGACTATTTATTTTGTATGGCCTAAGTAGGCATTAAAAAGTATTTGAATGGACTGTTTTGGATTTTCTGTAGGAAATCACTATCATATTCTTTTCAATATTAACCTCTGAATGGTTTTAATTTTTAATCAAGACCAAATGATGCCTTCTTGGTAGGCACTGTCAATTGGCTACAATACATTTATTTGCAGTAAGCTTTCAACTCTTTGTTTCAGTCTGATAAATGGTCATTTATTATCAAAATCCATAAAAATCACAACATAAAGCGAAAAACAGGCACAGGCAACAATATGTCCACGTTAACATTAGAATAATAATTACCTTCTTTAAACCTGTCAAAAATAGTTCTTCCAGGAAGATAAGATTAAAATAGGCTCGAAAACCAAATGGCACTTTAACATCTGATGGATTCAAAACTGTTTCTTTTAGAACAGCACATAAATTATCTATTGATGACTTGTTCCAATTTCTATTTTGTACATAACGAAGCATCTCTCTTAAATTTCTTCGTATCAGCTAAAACAAAACATTTCCTCAGGATTATTTACTTCTTATGTTACCGAACCTCAGAAGTAATATTTTCGACAGTATGCATGCAAAGATGTAACTGTTTATATTCTGCTTAACTTCTTATAATTTGGCTTTTAATAAAAACAATGAGTTCTAAAGCTATAGATGACACATAAGAGGGACTGTACAATTTTACAAATAAAAAATAAAAAAGATAGCTTGACAAGCAAGGTAATATATGCTAACTGGCAGCTTTGATTTTGAATAAAAATATTTGGCAGTACAGTAAAAATCACCAGTATGAAATACATTCCATTTGAACTTTTTGGGGTGATACTGAACAATATTACCATGTTTTGTCAAAATCTTGTAAGGATCAAGCCTTTTAGTGTTAACGAGCTACAATAGAATATTTCTTCAAGATTGAGCTCAATAACTCATTATAGTTGTCAATTTTCATTAAGATCATACTTGGGTGACTCACATCAAGTTTAACCAAAATCTGTCAAGATTTGGGTCTTCTAGAGTTTTTACATGCTAAAAATTGAGAGCGTTTTCAAGAACATGGGCAATAACTCATATTCAATATTATTTTTATTTTTTCCTTATGTGATTACTCACACCAAGTTTCGTCAAAATCCATCAAAAATTGTGCCTTCTTGAGTGTTTTTGAGTAATTTTTTCTGATACCTTTAGTCTACAAGTTTTCTACCACTGGACTGTCCAAAAAAGGCTTGATTTTCTTTTAGGTTCATCCGTGGGTGTTTCATAAAAATCTGTCTCGAATTGTGTCTTCTAGTATGATTACAAGAAATTGTGGACGGAAGAACAGGGGTGATATAAATCAGACTGCACCTAAATTAAACTAACATATTACCATCATAAATTTATCTAATCTCCATTTATCTAATGTCAGCCATTCTCGACTTTCTGTTACCAGAAATACTTTCATAAACAAAAACACTTGGTCTGGTGTTGATAGGGAAAGAATTAGTGAAGTTATTTTATCTACCAGTTCTTCCTGTAAATTATGACAAAACAATAGCATGAAATCTACAGCATCACAGCCTGTCATTCCAGATATGTTAGAAGTTAGTTTGCCAGGTAAGGTAATATACACCCACTGGCAATTTCAATTTCAAATAAAAATATTTGGCAGTTCAGTTACAATCACCAGTATGAAATATTCAACCTTCAATTATACACTTCTTTTGAACTTTTTGGGGCGATACTGAATAATATAAGCAAGTTTTGTCAAAATCCAGCAGAAATAATGCCTTTAAGTGTTTTT